GCAAGCCTCTTTCTGCAGCTCCTTTTATTGTAATTAGATTGTTTTTATTATAATTAGATTGCTGCGGTTTTTGTTGTGATGTTTCTCTCTCTTTGGTTCTATTGTAATTAGATTGTTTCCTTGAAGTTAGTCCTTAAGTGTGCATCATTCTGTTTGTTTAGCATGACTGTCTTGTTAAACTTTTGTATCTGTAGTCTTAGGTCATGGAGTCATCTTCAAGCAATCGTCATTGACTGTTGTGCCATTGTGGAAGGAGGGCTATACTCTCCAGATCTAGAACTAAGATGAATCTTGGTCGATTGTTTTTTGGATGCGCTAATTGGAGAGTGAATAATTGTGGATTCTTCAAATGGGTGTCTGATGAAGAGGAGTTTGAAGGATGCGCTAATTGGAGAGTGAATAATTGTGGATTCTTCAAATGGGTGTCTGATGAAGAGGAGTTTGAAGGTTCAAAGGCAGAGGAGAGTGAATAATTGTGGATTCTTCAAATGGGTGTCTGATGAAGAGGAGTTTGAAGGTTCAAAGGCAGAGTTTGTTCAGACGAAGCAGTCGAGCGTGACGCCGCAAGTTTCAAGAGCCGTGTCAAGTGGAGAAGTGCGGGAAAAGAGAAAGTTTGAGATTGATATTATGGATTTGTTGAAGCTTGTTGTATTTGCTCTTTTGTTTGGTATTTTTCTTGGCTTTGTATTTGGTATTTGTATTGGATTTGTGCTAAGTAAGGTGTAGGAATGTATTATTGAGTTTGTTGAAGTGTATGTTCTCTGCATATATGTTGTGTCATTTGTAATAGGGTACAGTGGTCAAGGTCACTCAGTTATGATGAAGCGAGGCCTTCCTATGTCAGATGAAGGAATGATGCGAGCCCACTGAAGGAATGTAAATCATGATTCGTTTGTTAAATATTTCCATCATGATGCTTTAAACATAATTGAGTAATGATGCAAAACAGAATTATAGATTAACACGCTATCAGCACATAAGAGAACATATATGACATAACAAACTTAGAAATTGACACAGAAGATAACATGTTATTGACGACAAAGCAAGCAAAAGAGTATTTGCACATATTTTAGACTTTTTCACATAAAGAAGTCCTATGGCTGCACCTTACTAGATCTCGAGCTAGCCTCATAGCGAAATACATAAGACAACTGCAGACGGAGATATTCCCAAAACTAACAGTTACACGCCCAAAGGAAAGCAAAGGGAGAAACAACATTAGGCTTATTTTGACAATAAGAAATCAGCATTCAAGGTCTCCCTTCTAGATGCTAGAAACGTAACGGTATTTACAATATGAGACAGAGGAGTTCTTCTGGTCAACTCCCATAACAGCTGAAGACAACCAGGATAAGCCTTCTAGCTGCAAAATCATGATCAAATCCCTGAAACAGCACACAACAAATATGATGCCAAAAAATCATTAAAAGTTAAACGCCATAGGAAAAATGCAGCTCTAGGGCCAAAATTTTAATCTCAACAGACCTTCATGTACACAAGGGCGATTAGGTTAGCTTGGAACTCTACATTAGCCATCAGTAGAATCACCTAAAAGGAAAAGGATAGGCAGATAACAATGTATTACGTCAGCACAACTGAGGCGGGCATCCAGTAAGCTCATGTCTCTCACAATACCAACAACAACAACAACAACAACAACAATACCAACAACTCATGATAGTAGAAAAAAGCTCATGTCTCTCACAATATCAACAAAATCATGATAGTAGAAAAAAGCTCATGTCTCTCACAATACCAACAACAACAATAATACCAACACATGTTCCATTGGAACTGAACATAACACGATCTGTTTGCAAGAAATCACACACAGAATTGTCAGTCTAAATTTCAGAATGGTAATAACACACCTAACAACTCAAAACAATAGTGATATGATTTGCTCCGCCAACCTCGATCAAACTTCACGCAATAGTGAGAACTTCATCTGTATTAAAAAAATTAGCAAATCACGTTATGTTGAAAAAAATGGCAATGTACAAACTATTCGGTATGTATTAACCATTACCTTCCTCAAAGGAATCTTCTAAATCGTCAATGGCTTCATCATTATTATCTTGTTCCATTGAATCACTGAAAAAAATTTATGATAGCAAGACATATTAAGGATCATTGCACCAACTTAAAAAAAGGTTTAAACAAATAATAGCATTCCTATTTTGGGTTTTAAGTGCTCATCAACAATTGGCACAACTAAGTCATCTAACTGAGAGATTTGTTCAGCAACAACATGAGAGCAACCATCTTCAGTTTCCATTGGATCAAACATCAACAACAAACATCAAGAATATTTTTTACCTACAAGAACAAACATCAAGAACAAACCATCAAAGCCAACTGCGCACAAAAATAAACAAATGAATGCAGAGATTATATATAAATCATCTTAAGAGGACCGTCAAAAAAATCACTAAAATAATTGTATGAACAAATGAATCCATAGATGATTTTCGCCAGGCAACTTATGCTTTCTCAACTTTTGCTGTAAACTTGTGTTGTTCTAAGGGGAGTAGCATATACCAAAATTTAAATAGTTCATCTAACCGAACTGAGAAATTTGAGAGTTCTCGTTGCAGTTGATGATGCTGTAGTTTTTTCACACCATAAGCAAACTTGATTAAAAATTTTATGGAAACTAACACTGGAATGCAAACATATAACCCCTTCTGTAGTCCAATTTGATGTTATTAAATGCTATGGATTTATCAGCAGGACAAACATGACACAAGATGATAATTAACTGCTGAAAGTGATTATCTTTCTACCAACTCCGGATAATCCTTTTCCTTTAAAAAAAAAAAACAGAAATTGTCCTTTGCTTCTTCTTTATGCTAATGATATTTGTGTTCCATAATGGCCAATTCAAAGATTTCAGTTTAAATCTTAAATTAAAGAAGATTGAAGGAGAAGGAAAAAAACCCACCTGGGAGACTCGCGGTGGCTCGGAAGGAGGGTGGGGGGGAGGATCTCGGGCAGTACATCGGGCAGCCGCTCTGGGAGGAGGATCGGGAGTGGCGGTTCGGCGAGCATGACTTGGGGAGAGAAAAGGGAACCGGAGCCGTGCTCGCGAGGTGCTTGCGGAGAGAGGGGAGCTGAGAGGGCGGAGAGTCGGCGACGATGCTTGGGGACTGAGAGTATGCCTATCTCGTCGGTCGCGCTGATGCTCGGCGGGAGAGAGAGATAAGTGAGAGGGCGGAGGGTCCGGGGAAGTGAGAGGGGAGATGAGCTTCGATTTGGGAAATGGGCCAATGATTCACGACTTTAGATAAACACTTTCAAGGCCGTTCAAAAATAACCTAACGGACCGATTCTTCATTTCGCACAGAATGGGTGGCGAATTTTTTCCGCTCTGAAAAAGTCCTATATAATATATATATATATAATATATATATTATATATTATATAATATATTATATATATATATATAATATAATATATATAAAATATCAAGATGCTGTCGCTAAAGAAGACTGCACTATAATAAAGAAAACAAATAAGCCCAACATGAATCAAAATTAAATTTGTTTTCTAATCTAAATAAACTTCAAAAATAATTATCTCATTTTCTGGTGAGGAGCAGGTATATACACTTTCTCATGCCAAGATTGAGACATGAAATTCCACTATTTCCATGCGTATGAGAGCAGTGCACTGCTTCTAATTCTCTGCATTTTCTTGAGGATGGAACATTAATTGTGGTAAATCTTGCAGCAGACAACTCAACTTCAAACACATTGTTTAGGTATCTGCATATCGTCCGAAATATTTTTTTAGTGCCAATTCTAATTCTGTGTTTAGTGGAAAACTAATTGGTGCAAATTTTTTTTTTAAAGTTTTTTTCAATACATACTAGTGTCTTCAATATATCTTACTTTTTTTGAAATTAATCCCTCAAATCATTGTCATTGGGTACCCCAAATCATTCAAATTAGCAAACTTCCAATCATTACGAAAATAATATTAGATCCCACAACTCATAAGTTACTTAAAATTAATCCTACTAAATGCTCCAGCAATCAGATCTCTCATGTACGCACCATCTCTCTCATGTCCTTCTCCCCCATTAAAAGGAGGGGGGAAAAGAGTTCGTAATTGATGAAAGGAACTACATCCTATTCTAAGAGCATAGAAAATTTCAAAGTAAAACAAAGCGGTGAAGTGCTATGTAAGTCCTAATGATGCCGAACTTAATGCACAAAGATGGGAATCTTTGTCTGTATTAAATTGCCAATTACATCTCAAGCTAACACATGCACGACACCATAGTGATCTACAAGGATTACAAATTTCTAAGACAGCTTATAGTGGCGCCTTCCATAAAAAGGAAAACTTGTGATACTTTTCTCCTCATAACATTATTCCATGGACATTCTAATCTATTACCTCATAACTTTTATTGAGTCAAGTACATTGGATGATGCATGGGTCATAAAAAAAAACCATGTTCGTAAAGGCAACTCTGATGTGTGATTTGCTTCCTTATCTTCTTTAAATCCAAAGACCCATTTTTTTTGAAGGAAGGCATACTCCTCCACTAACAAAAAAATTTCTTAGTTATAAAAGCAAAATAAAGTTAAAGTGGTGCATATGTCTCAATCTCCCTCCTCTCTTTCTCATGCCTTTAACTTTTTTGCTCCTTACCTTTTCCTTTCAATGTTCACGAAGAAAACCCTAGCCTTGCCATCTTTTTCCTGAAAATGTAAGTAAACACATGCATCCATGTTTAAATGTGTGTCTTATTTGTCTCCGTATATATCTTGGGAAATTAAGTTTAGCTCCCTTGTCTGAATTTGATTTTTTTTTATAACAAAACCACAACGGGAGTTCATACGAAAGTTTACGAACCAAAATATTGCAATTGTATGATACTAATTAAGTTTCTTATGACCAATGTCTATTCTATAGATGTCATACATAAGGTTCAAGACATCTTAGTAAAAAAAAAACCAATAATCAATAAAATGAGAGGAGAGGGGTGTAAACTAAATTTATCACATATCTTTTGCGTGTGTATATATATTTACATTACAAAGGGAGATAAGATCGCGTGCATATTCCCATATTCCACGCACTTTATCTAGTCATCAAGCAGCCTGCAATAAAGTTTACTTGATAATAAGTTAATAACATATCTTAATGTACAGGGAAAAAAAGTGGTGAAGAATCTCTTTGCATTTTCCCATCCCCTACTCTAACTCTACTCATCTTCTCCTCACACCAATGTAATTGTTCATTGCTTATACCGTCCATTCTTAAAACCCTAGAAACAATCTTCAGGTCTATCAAACCCATTAGTATCTTCATCTCCTCCTCCTCTGCTAACTTCCTCCTCCTTATGCATTTCCTTCGCCTACCGATATCGATGATCTTCATTTTCTTCTGAAAAGTCATAACAACTAAAATGTTATATAAGAGTATGTATGTATAAAAACTCTGAATTCTAGTCATAACTTCTGAGTTTTGGTTCAATATAAGAGACTTTAACATGGTATCGAAGGTGTTACATTCAAATTCCATCAGCAACATATTAATTAGGAAAATTAGATTAAAAGTACTGTTGTGTGAGTCCAAATTTTGACCATAAAAATGGTGTTCAAGAAGACAAGAAAAGATATATAAATGGACTTACTCTTCTGTTGGATTTCTTGAGAAACCGAAGAAATATTGGATCAACAGAGATGGACTTCCTCTTGATGAAGGATTTGATTTTGTCTCCACATTTCTCTTTATCGGCCTTGAGAAATTTCATGAATGTTCGAATACATTCTTCTAGTAGCACAAGGAACTCAACAGAAGAAATATTTGAACTTTCATTTGAGTCCTTTCCTTCATCACCTTCCGAATCTAGATTAAGCCAAAAAGTTACTTATAAGCTATATCAAAACATATAATGTAGGCCAAATTTGGGCTCGCACAAAGATTGAAAGTTTATAGTCCTCGAAAAGATTATATTATATCCCAAATCTTATCTTAGTTATATATTAGACCTTCAAATTTTTAAATATTTGTTCGAAATGGGGATATTATCTAAAACTACTTAGTGGATATGGGAGTGTAAAATTACAAGGCGGTATTTGATACTTAATGGATTTGTCTTAGCCAAATATAAAAATATGATAGAACTTAGGGACTAACATGAGAAAAAGCCAAAATTAAATTAGACATGATTATACCTCTGAATTCAGGAACATGCAACAGTTTAGGAGATGACATCCTCCTCCTAGCGTAAACCTCAGGCCTTTTACCAAACTCATAAGGCTCGTTCTCTATAAATCTCTGCAACAAAACCTGAAATTGTTGAAATTCTTGCGCAATTCTAGCCGGACATCCCAAACCCTCATCGATATTTTTCGAGTTTTTCTGTCGAAAATTTTCGTAATTCCAACTGAGAGCTTCCCATGCCAAGCAAATTTGAGCAGCATATGCACTCTCAAGTTCTTGATATGGGTCTCTCCTCCCCATTGCATAACTTTTTGGTTTGGTCGATAATTTGTGGCATATCCTTTCTGATATCGACCTCGGATGAACTTTAATAGACCTAAGCGACTCTAAAAAATGAAATAATGGGTAAGTTTAAATTGAAATTGAAAAACATCGATCAGAGAACTGAAATTATTGTGATTAACCTGTTTCAGATAGTTTTTGCGCAGATATTCGATCCAAGAACACCATTCCCTCATTGTACTTGGGGAATACTGTATATGATTCCCATCGAGATGAGCTCCTCCGAGACGAAGAAGAAAAAGGGTACTCGGTCTCTGAGTCTCTAAATATTGTGGAGCTTCGCCATTCGGTGGAGCTCTTGGAGGTCGATTCGCCAGTGAGGGACTCGCCGTAGTAGCTCTCTCTCCCTTCAGGAACATCCTCAAGGTGAAACTTTTCGCTTCGAGGATGAAACGTTTTGAGACTTATCGGTCTCTCATCCTCTGAGGAATCCTTCTTTTCTTCGATAATCGGATGAACATTCTCTTCATTATCAGCACATAAGCAATATCAGGACGAGTCACGTACAGTCAAGTAAAATATTAATTATTAACCAAGAATTAATTAAGGATTTTTACGCTCACCCTCCAAAGTAAAATCTTCAGAATCCGAAGAGGGTAACACATTGGTCACCGTAACAACTTCGTCATGCTCTAAAGAAAGCCGTTGATCCTGCGCGAGATCCTCTTGAGGGGAATAATATGTTGATTCCTCCGAGATTATGGTACTATCCTCTTCGTCCAAGAAAACCACGTCTTTAGAATCTTCAACTTGGTCGAGACGAAGGGTATCGCCTTTCGCACTTTCTTCGCGCAAAAAAAGTAGGGTTTCACCTCCGAGAACGTCGGCGACCAAGTCTTCTTTTGTATAAAGATCACCGGAGGTTACAGGCTCAAACTTTTGCTCTTGATGGGAGACGTTGTCGTGGTCGTCAAGACCCCTACAATATATACAAGAGAAATGATATATGAGATCGTACGGAAACTTAATTATGAGATAGCGATAGACATGTTTTTTACATCTATATGCATGGGTTAGTACCGTTTAGAGAGTGCCTTGTGATGGAGAAAGGTGAGGAGCTTGACGAGGAGGAGTGAAGAGGAATGGAGAAAGAGGAAGAAGAGACTCAGAAAATTTGAGACGTTATAGAGAAACATAACACCGGTCAAGCTCTTATCGTCATGGCAAAGGGAAGTAGAAAGGATCGACAGTGAAGGAAAGCTAGTAGCATTATGCATTTATGATTGAGAGAGAGAGAGAGATGGGAGGAGGTCGATGGCTCTCTTTGCCTTTTGATTGTCTCTAGAGATTGCGATGACCCTCTCTATTTAAGAATTATTATAAAGCAAAAAAGCTTGTATTATGTGATAATTAATGGGCTTTGGAGTTAAGGGTTGGAAATGGAATCGGATCCGATTTGGACCCACTTAAAGAACGTGTGTATCGGATCCAATCATGGGGAAACGCCCAAAGTTCGGATCAATGTCCAATCTAATGACGATAATCAAGATTGAAAGCGTGTAGTTTGCTTAGACTCGAAGGGTGTAATCTTTGGTTCAAAAATTATAAGGGGCCAAGATTCTAACCATGTTGATACAAGGAATAGAGAGGTTGCCACTTTTCTTTGAAGTCTGGTCGATGTCGAAACATCTAGACAACAAAATCTAACTGATTAAAGTGGATGATGGTATACTGATAGTGTGTGAAAGATGTGTTGAAAATATGATACACAACAAGGCGGAATATGCATATCGTGACTATTAATCGAAATTAATCAAAGTTTAGAAGAATACCTGAAACGCTTTGTGAATTTCTTCAATAATCTATTCTAAGATTAATCTGAAATAGCTTTCTCAAGAGAAAAACCTCCAATTGAAATCCAACCATCATCGAAGAGGAGCAATACTGAGAAATAGGTTCTCAAATTTCTATTTCTCTTTTGTTGTTCTTTTAATCTCATAAAAGATAGAATACTTTTCTATAACAATTAATCAAGGATATAAATAAAATTATATTTCACGTATATATCTTCTAATAACATTAGTGAGACCAATTGGGTCCCATATGGAGAACCAATTATTAATCAAATTAATAATTTTAATTTAATAATCAAATCCCTATCCAACTAATTATTTATAAAACCTCTTTCATAATTTGGGATTAATTATTTATAAATAATATTTTACATTCAATCCCCTCCACTATCATTTATTTAGATAATTTTTTTGAGCAGGACAATTTACCTATTTGCTCATGCCTAAATTGACATTCCCATGAACATAAATAAAAATTATTTTAAAACATCAAAATATTTTATTTTTATAGGAAAATAAATTTTGAAAAATATTTTCAAAACCACCTGTCGACAGGAATTTAATAACTTCATGGGAATGCATAATAAATTAACTCATCATAGTTATCATACTGGATCCTATCTAGATATCCATCATTTTCCTAAATGAAATTTAGCAACCTAATATTTTAGGTTGTGTAGCGTTTGCTAAACAAGCTTAACCATCACATCAAAGCATACTAAATTATCAAATCGAAAATAACAATATCATTAAGTCAAAGAGACCATGTAACAATTTAAATTCTCTCTCTCTTAGGTAACTCGTCCTAGAGAATCTAAATGTGATCTAGTGCTATACACATCACAATGCATGCTTATGACATACACTCGGAGAATCCTCATTCCTGGTGGTTGATACCCACCATCACATCTCACATGTCAATGTCATGTATAATAACCTGCTATAACAAAATTATCCTTTACTAGCAATAGGTTAAATGTACACAAGTTTAAAAATTCTCTAAGTTAGATCACATTTCATAGAAAGTGACACATCACAGTGCATGATCTAACAAAATAATTTCTAAGGATATATATAGCAATTATAGAAAATAATATCAAAATTATATATGCAACAAACAAGTCCATTTAACATTACAAGAAAATTACATAATTTATATTGGATGTTCAATATGATACATGAAATGAGAGGCTCGTGAAGAAGGAGTCGTCTTGTCTCCTCATTTTGATGGCTCCAGTGACCAGACAACACACATTGACAAACAACACGTTCTTGGCAAGGACCAAGAGTCTGGCCTAGAACTCTTTTGATGCTTAAGCCCATGATTTAATTTGAAGACTTAGTATGCAAATGATAAGTTGATCGAGTTCCCTTATCTCTTTCAGGTTGAGGATGAAGTTAGCTTGTCATGAACTGCTGATAGGTTGTGTTCAATATTTCATCAAGATGGTGCTTTGAACTACTTGTGAATGGTCAACTTAACTTGTGAGTTACGGCGCCCTGCGAGAGAGAGAGAGATGAGCACTACGACCGTATGCGAAATGGCTTCAAGCAGGTTGACGGAAGGAATTATGAAAGTGATCATGTTTGTGTCGGGTACATGCTTGACTGGGCTATAGATGAAGAGTTTTGGGCCTAAGCATGCATTGGGCTTGAAGGGAGGGCCTCCTCTACCCTTAGAACGGAGCAAATTTTTAGATCCGATACCGCTTTGAAACCGGGAGTTGTATTATGATGCTAATATATTAGACTTTGGATCAACATAAATCTCCACATTGTTTGTGTGTGCCATGTATGGACAAGCTAAAAAAAAAAGCTTAATCATCTATAAACTTGGTGGTTATTGCAAGTCAGAGGATCGTACACGAGGTTATCCTGATGTTATCTGTAAACTATAAGATTCAGAAAGTTGGAAGAAGTATGATCTGTAATGCACTAGTCACTGACGGCTTATCAAATCAAAACTTTATGGCCTCTTTATCGTCGTATTTGACTCTTTCGTTTACCTCCCTTTTTCTGATGAGGAAGTATTTTTGAATTTGGAGTGGAAAGTTCAATTTTCTGTTGTGTCATATCTGAACAATTTTCTCAATCACAGGTTATTCATATCTCAATAAAATCTTACTTGAAGAGCTAATCAACTTAATCCTTTTCTGTTCTAAATACGTTAACTAGGTTAACCCCGCTCTACAATTTTAAAATAAATTCTTAGAGTATGTATTATATGGTTTTTTATTAGAGGGCCCTCTGTATAAAATCATATCCTTTCTGACGTGGCTTCGTGCGGGGCGGACGTGGACTTCCTCCCTTTTTATGGCCCCTTTACCCTTTGGATACCCTTATCTTTACAAAAGAGTGGATTCCCGATTCAGGAATCTAGGGAACTGGTTTTGCACATGACTGCTTTAGTTCTCTCGTTTTAGACTCCATCCAATTGTGGTTAAAATGTGATTACTTATAATATATAAATTTATACAGGCAGATCTTTTTGCTCGTTTGCAAAGACAAAGTTTAAGACGGAATAAAAAATAACATGCAATCACATCTGATCTTTTAAGTTAAAAGTTTCCGAGATGACAACAAAAATACAAGCATGAAAACGCTCATATCATCACTACAAGATGTGCATCAGATCTCTCCTGAGAGGCTGAGACCCACAACAATCCCTCTATAACAGCTCACAGCTTACAGAAGATCAGTAGAATAAAAACAATAAAAATCTTGGTCTCTTTCCAATTCCAATTGAAACTCCGCCATTCATACCCATGCAAACAAACAATAAACGATAAACTTAAAATCATAAAATCATTTCAAAGGTAAATAAGAACTATTAAAAATGACCAAGATTAACAGATTAGATCAATATCGAGGGTATAGTGGAGGTTGCGTCGGAGGTTGAGCAGAGCTTTGGCCACCGGATGCTACGAAGGCTTGAAGGAGACTTTGAGCTGCCTTTAACTGTTCAGAAGACCCGTGTATCTCGACAATGCATTCTGAAGAACCAGGAAGTGGATCGTGTAATTTGACTCTAGCTCCAGAAATCTGAGTATATTTAAAAAAAAAGAAATATATGAAGATGGTTAAAATTTAGAATCTAAAGATATTATAAAACCAATTAGATGTTTAACAGTAGGAAATATGAATTCTATGGTGCCTGAGGATTGTAGTTTTGCATTTTCGCTGCCAGGTAAATTAAATTTTTAATGTCACAGATGTGAAAACTTGGTACTGAACCGTTACTTTCAGTTAAATCTCATAGATCTTGTTAGAATTATTTGGGTAAATTACAAACCAGCCCCCTATTGATTAGTATTAAGCAGGAATCGCAAAACAATCCTTAAGATTATAAAAGTGACGCTCTTATCCCCCCTCATTTTTCAATTCCTAGTTTAATAACCATGATTTTTTCCCCATCCAATCATCAATTTATATAAAATAATGGGGGGATTGTAAATATAACCTCTGTACTATAAAATTAGCCAACTTAGCATTATTAGCACTTAGACTTTATTAATGCCCAAAGACTCCAAACAGAGGTACCTCTCTGTTATTTTACCTATGTTAGGTGATGTTTTTTCAACACCTATAAGATATTATATGTTTTTCTAGAAAACTCCTGAAATATCAAGGAATCCCTCTACAACACATTGGAGTCACGTGATACACGCGTGACAGATAACTCCGGTTTAGGATTAGGGAGTCAAAGTGCTAATAAAAAATTTCAGGAATAACTAGTTGCTAAGCACCTATGATGTAGATGTTGAATCTGCAATTACCCAAATAATAACACATGTTTTTAAGGTAGAACAGATAACTATCACATCCTAAGACCACAATTTATACATAAATGTTAACCTTGCAGGTTAAAACAGGGGGGCAAAAATCATCAATTTTGAAGCTTTAAGCTTTTCAATTACTCTACAAATGTTAGGAATTTCTGTAACTTAATTCTAATTATTTTTGAGTTACATAAAACTGAATATACCTGACGAATTTCAGATATATTACTTCCACCCACGCCAAGCACAGAAGACACAGCACTGTTTGGAATCTTGATTTCCATACTGGTGGGCATGCTCGAGTACCTAGAATATAATGCAAAACAATGTATTAAGGCCTTTGAGGTACTTCTTCAATGAATGACAATGTTATAAAGGGGAAAAGGAGCAAGTGAGGCTCTAATCTATACCCAGAAGCAGCTGGTGGCGGACCAGGAGGGTAAACTGGTGGTGCTTCGTATGCAGATCCAGACCCCTGGAAAAGCAATAGAGAACAGATCATATATCATATTTGAAGGATATTACTCTGCAACCAAAAGCAAGTACATATATAACATCCTATTCACTTAATCTATTCGGAAAAGTCTAGAATTCCATTTCTTTGAATCTGTTTCAGTTCCTCTCCAAAAGTTCAGGTTCATATCTTTGTGCATGTGTGTGGGCGTGCACAAACACATACATATCTTTATATAAACATATGCGTGTGTTTGTACACAGACACACAGAAGCATATATACACATAAATACAAAAATGCGTTTAGCATGTGCAGATGTAAATATGACTAAATAGTTAGGACATTTCCCTGGTGGCAATGAGATATTAAACTCTTGTGAGCAACAAGGTATATTATAACTGTGTCCAACTGTAAGCTGGACTTACACAATTTAAGGTAAGATCCCCTCTTGCCTAATGTTGTTTGTGATAGAATATGCCCACCAACTCATAGATTATATGCCAGATCAAGAACCAGAATTTTATTCTGGCAAATTCCTACTGTTTAAAATAAGGGTAATGTAAGGATATGTTAGAATATAAAACTATAACCTTCAACCATCACCATAACTTTGGAGTTTTGGTGTAACGGTTAGAGAGACTTCAACATGGTACTAGAGCAACCTGGGTTCAAGTTCTGCTAGCCACGAATTTTATGTGGATCTAAAAAAACTATTGATTCTACTGTGTGAGTCTATGTTTTTGCCCATAGAAAGGCCGCTCAACCTGTGGGGGCAAAATATAAGACTATAACCCTCAACATTCACCATAACTTTGGAGTTTTGGTATAATGGTTAGAGGGACTTTAACAAGATAAATATAGTTACTAATTAAGGAACTCAAAAGAATGTATGCAAATATACTTTATTTCTAGCAGTCCTATTTCTGTTGTGGTCCACTACTTTAAAATTATGTTGTTGTCATTTTCATAGCTTATCTATGTCAGTCCTTCATAACAAATGTCAGAAAGGAAAAAAACCCAGCCATATCTGAAACATTTCACCTATGATTTGTAGAGTGCTGAGAGAAATTTCCATATAAAGAGACATGGTCATATAGGTTTTATACTCTCCAAATACATTTTACTACACCAAACCTTTGAAACTGTGGTCAGGGGTTGAGGGTGATATTTTATTTATTTATTTATTCTATCTCTTAACATACCCCTGCAAGTTGGGCATCCTTATAGGTTGAAACCTGAGTTTCTTTGTACATTTTCCAATCTTGATTTAAATGTGTGTTCGGTGAAATTTCAACCTAGGTTGCTCAGGCACCATCTTAAATAATTGCTTATATTACACCAATATACAAAGTTACGGTGAGAGTTGTACTAAACTGATTGTAACAAATACATGAATCATTGCAACAAATCTAACTAATAAATACTTTAAATCAAAAACCAAAGCGGTTTAAAAAAAACCAAAAAAGACGTGGTTCGAATACATTTTCAAAACTACTACTTGAAACCTGTTTCCAGTGTCAGGGTCATAAATAGTCGACAAGTCAATTTGAAAGCAGCTTCTCAATAGTAAATTCACTATAGTAAAATCACACAAAAAGGTCAAGGACTTTCACCTTGAAGTAAACAATTTTCAAGGAATCAAAGGTGAATTGTGAAGTGAACTAAAGACATTTTCTGTGACCAAGGATCTGAATGAGAAACATTGACCTGACAAAAAGACACCGCAGAAAATCAAGCAAAATGGGAGTACAGCAAACAAAGGATCAAAGAGACACTAAGAAAGATTAGACAACATAAATTACACCACAAGCTGATGGAGTCCTGTAAATTGTCTTTTTTGAGTCAGCATTCAAATGTACTCCTCCCCTCTCTTCATTTTGATGATGATGATTTTCATACATATTCCTGCTTGACTCTATTTGTGCATTATTGTCTTATTTACAGTCAGACATTTCGCTATTACTCACTCTAAAAACACATTAAAATATAAGATAAAGTTAGATTCCAAAAACTAATGTGTAACTACCTTATTTCACATTTCCAACCACCCTACGAAAAGGTTTTTGATTAAAACATCTCTGATCTAGAGCTCACAGAGTTTGTAGTCGTTGTTCACAAATCCACACTTTTCTATTATAGAAACTCTAATTCTGGTAGGAAGACTACTAAGTTTACATCCAATGTGCAAACAGGAGATGAGGCCAATTAAACTAGTGAAATCACACTGATCACTGAGAGAAGAGATTAGAGTTAAATAAGATGATTGATTATGTAAATTGATCAAGCTCCCTAGAGAAACAAAATGCTGTGATATAGAAAAAAATGAACAAGGAACAGTGATAGTCAACAAACGTAGGGGATACACAATTTCTTTCGTTGTCAAATGTACATTCAAGAAAGTCAAATAGAATATCTACAATCATAGAATCGGAGAACGGAAATTAGCGACATCCAGTGTTGTAAATAGCGGCCAATAGCGGGGCTATAGCGGCGCGAATAGCGGTCGCGGCCCTTCAGCGCTACGCGTAGGGGTTTCGCGGCTGGCTTAAGCGGGAAAATCCGCTATTCATTCGAATAGCGCGTAAAAGCGGATTTTAGCGGGTTAAAAGCGGATTTTCACGGTTAAAAGCGGATTTTTGTTGTTAAAAGCGGCTAAACCCACTATCACACATATTATGATGCTATATTTCTTGAATTTCTTCATAGTTTCATTCATACAACAAGCTTATTAATTGTTATTTATTGATAATACAAGAAATTTACAACTAATTGAATTTTTAGATTTTTTTATGAATTTTCTTATTATTTAGGATATTTAAATATATTTAAATTTGACCGCTATTTGACTGTGCGCTATTTGCCGCGATTTCGCCGCAATAGCCCGATATAGCCTTAGCGGTACCTCGCCGCGACGCGCCGCGATCCGCTATCAGCAACCTTGGCGACATCATACATAGCCAAATAAAAAATACCTTTGGATACTCCGGATACTCGTAGCTAACAGGATTACTCCCTCTGAACATGCTGGATGATGACAATGGCCTACTAGAGATTCTTTCAGGAGCAAATCCACGGGCAGGATATACAGGAGGTGGACTTCCAGCTTGTCCAAACATGTGAGATGGTGGCGGACCTCTACCGGGCATCCTTTCTGAAGGAACAAATCCATGGTTGGGGACTGTAGGTGAAGGATTTACAGTCGAATTCCCACTTCGGAAAGTCCTCATTCTAAGCCTTGATGCAACTTCCAAGAAAGCATCCCTAGCCACATCAGGACTTCCAGATATCTGCATAACCACGTTAAATAATTAAAACCTAACACTAAAAACTGCAGAATATGCTCATAGAAAAAACAAAGTGGGACAAAGAATGCATGCTAACCACATCACCTGCACGAGCTCTTCATCAGCAGATGTATATTTTGGCTTGTCTTCCTTGGAATAAACTCTAATGTCTGCTCTAGTTTGCCTTCTCATTTCTGAGATTATTTTCCCGCCTTGTCCAAGGAGGCAGCCAACTTTGGTTGATGGAACTAGAAGCCTCGTGGTGATTTTACCGTCTTCAGAGGCTGCACATGTTCTGCTTTGAAGCAGAAGAATAGCTTCAATGGTTGGCGAAATTCGATCCCAAGGACCCTGCAGCCATTTCGTATTGAGATAAGATACAATTAACATGAAATATGCAGGGAATTTACAAGCTTACCTCTCTAGAGGAGACACTAATAATCCGCTCTTCAGCCTCTGGAGAAGTGTCTTCAACTTGAATTCTAGCTTGTGTTTCATGTTCTACCTGTCTAACATTTGAACCAGCCTTTCCAATCACCCCACCAATTCTGCCAGCTGGACATAAAAGTCGAATAGAGAATTCTTCGGGTGCTTCCCCAAAATTATCAGAATGTCCACTTGTGTAACCACTTGGGGGAAAACCAGATGGCTCATTTCTAAATGGCTCATTTCTATACGGTTCATTTCTATATGGCTCGTTTCTATATTCACCATGCCACGGGGGTGGTGGTGAAGACCACATAGGATTTCCATGAGGTGGTGGGGGCAAGGAAGCACCAGGTTGGTATAAGCCTTGGGTACTCGCATATATAAGATCATCGATAGGAGGATTGTCTTTACGAGGATGTTTATGCAACCGAGTAGAAACGTCATATAGAGCCTTCTTCACAATAGTTGGTGGTCCAGATATCTGCAAGGTGCAATTCAGAGCATTATTTAGTAGAATGACCAAGAAATAGCAATAATAATAAGCAAGAATGCAAGTTTCAAAGCCAAAAAAAGGTGTTAAGTCAAAACAACACGTAATAACATAGTAGATAGCTAAGTAAAAACATGTGAAATCACAAAGAAAACTTGTGTAATTCACTGAATTTTTAGGCTCTTGCATCGTATAGAGTTGAGACAAAGTTTCCAGCAGGTCATATTGAATGATCAAATCACAACCTTTAAAATCCTAAAGTAATTATAATTACAGAAAGAATCTTTTAGAAACTAACAAGCTAAATTATACAGTCACTTAGAGTCAATGAGTCTCCATTTCCAACCTTGTCTGTAGATGGCTTATTTTAGGCTAAAATAAACTTGAAACGCTTTGCTGTGCAGAGGGATGAAACCAAAATAAAGTATATATTTAATAGAAAGACTTCTTCTACATGCTCATCAAATAACGACAACAAAAAAGTCCGTACTTTCTATGCTGATACTACAGTGAACCTATTCCTCTAAACTGTATTGAAAATTTCTGTGTTAGGTTTTAATAAATTCACGATAAGTTGAAGAGCACAATGAGATTATTTTTAATTCAAAAATGTGATCTCATTATCTCATAATTTGGATGCCAAATTTTACATGGTCAAAGATGTTGCCAAATGTTCAGTTTCAAACAAACATTAAATGGTGAACCAAAACAATGAAAAGCAGCACACAGGTATTTGATTCCCAAGCAAAGTTTATCACGTTCCCACACTACACACAAATTATATACTTTACTAAGTTACACATACACATTGCCTCATTAAAGCCTCACATGTTGCTGCATAAGCGCCCATTTCCCTGCCTAGAGTCTGTCAATGTTCTTCATCTTTATCGGTATCATGAATTTATAATGCTAGGAAGTCTACAATAGCACTATACCTCAGATATTATGAATATTGTGAAGTTATGAATCGGTAAATTATGGGATAACTATCATTTCTTATTAAATACGGAACAAATGCAATGCATCTAGTAGTCAAATGTAAACCATCACCGAAAACATTAAAATGTTAGCTTATATTAGACTGGGTAGTCCTATGATGTCTGTGCTATGTTTAGGAGACATTGGAATTATACAATATGTCAAAAGGAGTATCTGAATGCATCAATTAAGTGTCAGATAAGTACTCAATATGTGCCAGACATCAATCCTAGATATGTTATAGTCAGTGTTTCACCATTGGTTATATATTCCAAGGTCACCATTGGTTACATGAACAACCACATATGAATAGAAAAACAAAGGCTTGGTTTATTCCCCTGGTTACTTGTCGAGTAGGCAGATGAGTAACATCATGAAGCCGATTCTAGTGGCAGTCCAGAGAACTTAAAATTTTGCATTGAGATGTATGCATAAACAAACAAACTGGGTCATCGGGCATCATTTAGATGTTCAAACTACTTGTGAGAACCTTCAACATCTGAGATTATAGGGCAAAAAACGTATTCCTCGAGTGAAAGGATAAGCGCATGGTTGAAGTGTTCTCATCTGGAAAATACAATCAATGATAGGATAAATGCAAGGTTGAAGTTTTCTCCTCTGGAAAACCCAGACAATGTCCTCAATAGCCGTTAAGAGCTTAGTTTACAAGTTTAATGGGATTTTCAACACCTAAGATTTGTGAAGCTGGCGTGCAGTGTTCTTAGATGATAATATTGGGTCAAAAGTTTCTTGGAACTCATTTCTATACAGACTATAGAGGTCAAATACTTCATAGGTAGCCTGAGGGACAGTGAAACAAGTCATAGAAAGTATGCCCCAAATGTAAGGATAAATTATGCAGAGTTTATTTACAAAATAACATAAAATCCTATCTCAAAACTTACTGCTGCATTGATGATATATCATCCTTCCATGATGGTGCTTTCCTATGTAGTTATCATGACTAAATAAAGAAAATTAAAAAAAAACAATAAAATATAAATGTTGAATTACCAATTTGAAGATTATATGGAACACTATAGAAACAGAGTATCAGGGTAGAATTTATTGAATATGCTGTCACAAAATTTAAATAGCACTAGTTTCACAAGAAACTACCGTGGAAACCACTTTGTGGAATGTATGCTCTCTTCGAGTTTACATTTATTAAATCTTAAGTTGGATGTTTATTCCAAATATCTCTGAAAACATATACCGAAATATCTGACTGGCAGTATGTTGATCCGAAAACTCAAGAAGTTACAGTATTCATGTCACATAAAGCACCAAATTTGGAACAAATTTCAAGAATCTGTTAGAAAACTTTGTCATAACCCTTCACCAGATCTAGGATTTGCCATGATCCCATGATATAACATATTATATTTGTTGAATAGTTTCTTATTGTCTTTAAGCATTCAATTAGTAATATGCAAAACCTCGAAGAGTTGAAAGTGTAGAACTTTAAAAATTAAAAATGAGAATGTCCAGAACATGTCTAGACACTGGAACACCAAAACTGGTAATGTGCCTAATATATCAGCTTCATCCCCAGAGAGCTACTTGATTAAGAAGGTTAATGTGCTTAATTCTACAACCCCATAAACACAGTAATATTACTCGATATAACACCAGACAAAATGATTGTTAATAAGAAGAATAAAAAGAAAGAAATATACCTGCACCAATTCATCAGTACTCATAGCACAAGGTGGAAGATGCTTATGAGACAAAACATGGATATTTGCACTAGCATATTCACTTCGAAGTTGCTTTATAACAGTTCCACCCTTGCCAAGAAGGCAACCGACTTGATTACTTGGAACCAATACGCGAGCAGTGACAGTATCATCAGGATTGGTCTTCTCGTGCACCACTCCACCACGAACATACTCATCGGCAGCAATCCTGTCATGGACCTTCAAAAGAGCGTTTTGAGCAGGACAATGTGGATGCATGTCATCAAATTTATCCCCAACAACATCATTATTCTCAGTGCCCTGATCACCATCAACTTCCCCTGATTGTTTTGATGGGTAATTAAAAATGATAACAACTCTCTCCTCTGCTCCAGGTATCGCATCAGCAACCCTTATCTTAGCATGGGTTTCATCTCTGAGAGCACGAACGATTTCACCCCCTTTGCCAAGAACACTACCAATCTTTTTGATAGGACAAAGAATACGATAAACCGTCTCGATAACTTTAGGTGGACCAGAACTAGGATCATGACTAGGATAAGGATTTTGTCTCTTCCGTTTTCCGTTATCAAACTGGTCACGAGATCTTTTCTTGAAATTATCCGACTTGGGTTTCCCATACGCATAAGCATCCATAGTACTGTTGACAGAACGTTTCAGGTCTTCAGATACTAAAAGATAAGTATAGAGAACATATATGGGAAGAACTCATCAATGCAGAGAAAAAACAGTATGAAAAAAATTAGCTTCCTCAAGCAGAGAGACATTAAATCAAATGTAACAATTAAGAATCAAATTCTGCTGAAAAATGAATTATTTTAAGGAAGTGCCAAATCAATTTTCTTATGCACAGAGAACTGTAAAAAATGCATGAAATGTTTAGTTCTCTCATAATCATGTCATGGAACATCAAATTAATGTACACAGAGTTTGTCTAAATCAAAAAAGAAACCTTCCATGAACTTGATACAATCTATAAAATCAAACTCCATTCCTGCAACTAAATTCTTTGAAAATCCACTAGTACCGTAAACTGAGAAAATTCATACAAGAAAGACTGCCTGATTTGTGTAACAAACTACTGCAAAGAATTAATTAAGCAGGCAATTATGCTTATCCAAGACAACCAAATTGGGATTAGTATGACTGCATACACAAGCAGAAAATAGCTTTTATCTGTAATTATCTCGTATTCATGCAGATACAGCGAAACAATAAAACATGAAATAAGCAGATATTAAAAAAAATTAAAGGAAGCTATGATATGAGCACCACATGAACGAAGCATCTAAAGTTCTATAATGCATGCATCTGTAGAATGGGCATGGACATGGGAACATGCTATAACAACAATAACAACAGACTCAATTCCAAATCTTTGGGGTATGGCTGCATGAATCCTTATTCTCCATATAATTATTTTAATTGTCACTTCTCTGTTGAATTAGCTCATATATCCTCTTTAACCACCACAATCCACTTTAGCTCATGACTATCCTAAATCCTCATACATCAAACTATGATTTTATAACTTCAAACTAATCTTATCACAACTAAGTTCTTTACACGTGCCAATGTATTCCTCATGTCTCCATCGAAAATCTTTTTACCCATTTCCTACAGAAACTCTCTTTTATGTAATTTCATCCGGTCATAAGATGGCATTAACAAACGCACGCAAATACGTATTCATCCTTAATTGATGGACAGGGATGAATTTAACATGATTTGGTGTAAGCCTAGGGCGGTAGGGGAAGGTCTATGCCCTTTCGTTTGAATAATCATCATAACTCCATTATGTATAACATCAAGATAGCAACTAAATGCCTTCCTAAAACTAAATACATATATTTCTCCAAGAGTCCTTTCATAAGAATTTTTAAATCAATGAAAACTGGATAATTTTACCTATATATTTCCATGAATCTTGACAAGTAGATTTGCTTCTCTACAACCTAACATACGTCAAATAGATTTTCACGGAAAGAAATTGTTTTGTTTTCAATAAATGCCTCACATAGTTTTTGTGTGACCCATACGCTTGATTATACAATGGTTTTACAACTTGAATAACTATTTTATCCTTGAAAACAACTACTAAACTGCTTGAACTGTATTGTTCAGTTAAGTTCCAATCAATCTCTAACACCCTCAACTGCTTCTGGTATATACTCAATAGTCATTGACCCAATCAAATACATTCAAAGCAAGCAGTGAGCATGAGGACTTTCAGAGTAAAAATACCAAAATAACAAACCTTCTTTTTCTAATTTAATCAAAATGCAAGTCTGTTCAAGATGAATATTAAACTCTATTTCGCACTTTCATGACAATAACAAATAAATCTAAAATCTTAATCACTATTCTTCATTTCCTAGAGAGTAATCTAAAGATAACTTGGATTTACACTAAATATATGCTATTATTAACACAGTTTCTTCTAAACACGTGTCATCATGTCAACATAATTTCATACGACCATGA